GGCGGCGGGGTCCGGCCCGGTCCGTGCGGCCTACGGTGGAGTCGGGGCGGTGCGGGACTGCCGGGAGGGACGGGCCCGCTCGGGGGGACGGGCCCGCTCGGGGGGACGGGCCCGGGGATCTCGGGGGACGGAACTGGGAGTCGCAGGGACCTGGCTGGGGGTCCCGGGGGGGTGGTACCGGGGGTCCCACCGGGCCGGAGGTGGAGGTGTCAAAGCCCTGGAGAGGACCAGGCCGGTGGTCCCGGAGTCCTGACCAGTGGGCCCTGGGGGGTGTGGGCCATGGTGTGCTGGGGGGGGCAGGCAGGGGGGTCCCGGCGGTCCCAGAGTAGCCCTGTCCCCGGTGAACATGGCGGCTCGGGCCCACGGTGCCGGTCCCCGCAGGCGATGGGGGCGTCCGAGCCCCCCAACTTCTCGTGGGTCGCGGAGGGGCGGCTGGCAGGGCTGGCCATGCCGCGGGAGCCGGGCCACTACCGCTTCCTGCGGGGCCAGGGCGTGCGGCACCTGGTGTCGCTGTCGGAGCGGGCACCACCGCACCACGGCTGCTGCCCCGACCTCCAGCTCCACCGGCTCCGCATCCCCGACTTCACCCCCCCGACGCCCCAGCAGATCCAGAGCTTCCTGCAGCTGGTGGAGGAGGCCAATGCCCGCGGCGAGGTACGGCGGGGGCTCCTCACCCCGGGGTGAGGCCGCGGGGAGGAGGAGGCACCTAGGGAGAGGTGACAGCGAGGGGGTAACGCCGCGGGGGGGATGCTGGGGGTGTGGGGGGCTGCTGCAGGAACAGCACGGCCCCCCGTGCGGTGCCCGCTGAGGGTGCGGTGCTGCCGGCAGGCCGTGGCAGTGCACTGTATGCTGGGGCACGGCCGGACGGGCACCATGCTGGCCTGCTACCTGGCGAAGGCACGGGAGATGAGTGGCGACGCCGCCATCCAGGAGATCAGGCGGCTGCGGCCTGGCTCCATCGAGACGCGGGAGCAGGAGGAAGCCGTGATCCAGTTCTGCCAACGGCTTCGGTAGGTGCCGCCCTGTGGCAGAGGGTCCTGTCTCTGTGTCACTGCCCTCCCTGGAGGGGCCCCCCGGTGCCGTGGCCGGGCACAGCGAGCGGGAAGGGTGCTGCAGGTGCCAAAGCCCAGCTTGCCAGCGGTATCTGCCCCACCACAGTGCCGGAGAGGAGGACAGCAAGGAGCCATGAGCATGACCAGCTCCCTGGGGCAGCCTGTGATGGATGGGTTCAATGGAGACTGTTACCCCGAGGTGCTGCTGTCTGTCCCCTCCTGCATTAAAGGACTCTCCTGTGGCTTCTCTCCAGGTCTGCGTGTGGGGAATGGGTGGGCAGCACACACTCTCGCAGCTCGGCCGGGCTCCCTGCCGCCAGGCTCGATCGACAGCTGCACCCCGGGCTGCGGGGTCCTGACTGTTGGGTCTCTGCCTGGCCTTGGCTCTTGGGGACCACGAGCGACTCCACTTCAGGCACCAGCAGACGGGCCCCAGAGCTGGTCGCCCGCCAAAGCAGTGACGCCATGCGGAAGGTGGCAGCCAGGGGCCGGCCCGGGACGTTGATGCTTAAAGTGAAGCTTAGATGGAATTTAGGCATCTCTGTCCAAAAGTCCAATCCTGGAAATCTCTTCTCAGCTGCTCCTAACCTTGGTGGCATTTAAATCCCAAGTGCAAGAAGTGTCACCGTCCCCGTTCCTGGGCATGAGGCACATGGCCGGGAGCGCCTGGCGCTCACTGGCCACGAGTGCCACCTCTACGCCCTGGGCTGATGGGGCCATCACCTCTGCCAGGCAGCTCCACGCCCCCCAAATGTTGCTCTGAAACCCCGAAATGTTGTGCTCTTCCCTCAGGAACAAAGCACCAGGATGGTGGCACTGGGCACTACTGACAAGATGGCTGTGCCCTGCTCAGAGCCATGGCTGGGGGTGACTGACTGTCTCAGGGTGGTTGGAGCACCACAATGTCCCCCTCTCCTGAACCCCGCTTCTCCTGCAGGGCTTGCAGTGGGACCAGCGGGGATGGAGGAAGTGACTGGGGGGATGTCTTCACCACAGGGTGCGGGGGACCCCAAAAAGCAGCTCCCCAGCTTTGCAGGGGTAGAAGGCAGCCCCCCAGCTTTGCTTGGTGCCCCCCGGCCCTTCCCCTGGGGGAAAATCAAGAGGCACCCGTGTCCCGTGTGCAATGCCATGGCTCCCGTGGACTGTGACACCACACCAGGATGTGGGGCCACCCGGGGGGGGGGGTTTCAACTCTGCCTGCATCCCTCGCCTGGGGCATGAGCGGGTGGGGGTACCCAACCAAGGGTGGGGGGACAGGGATGGGAACGGGGGTGACGGGGACGATGGGGACGAGGCAGCGCCGTCCAGCTGCAGCGCCTAAGCCTGCGGGAGCCACAGGACTCACATGGGCCCGTGAGATGCAGGAAAGCAGCTTAACCGCAGAATTATTTACTTTAACTCCTCTTTCTTTAGCTCTGTCCTTAATAGTCTCCCAAGCTCAGGGGGCCGGGCCGGGCCGGGCCGACGGGGGGGACCGCGAGACCCCACAGGGAAGGGGGGGTGGGACAGGGGGCTCTGCCCCAGCATCCCCAGCCCGGTGCTCAGCGCCGCTGCCGGGGCCCGGGGGTGCCGTGGGGCAGGGCCCAGCCCAGCACACAGTCTGCCATGGCCACACTCGGCCCTTGACGCCAGGCTCCATCGTGGCAACAGGGACACGGGGGATGTGCCCTGCCCGGTGTGTCCCTGTCCCAGGAGGCCCCCCAGAGCCCCCGGCCTGGCGGGCAGCCCAGCTCCGGCTCAGCCTGGTGGGATGGGGACACTGCTCCGGTGGCCGTCCCTGCACCAAGGACGCATTGAGGATGGGATTAGGGAGGAGATGGCTGGGGCGGGTGGGGAGCCCTGGCACGGCGGCTGTCACGGGGATGCCCTGTGCCCACATGTGTGCTGCCCCGGCCGCAGGGCTGCATAGAATCATAGAATAGAATCATAGAATCGTCTAGGTTGGAAGGGACCTCAAAGATCATCTAGTCCAACCATAAATGCGGTGGCAAGGCCTGGAGAGGCTGGAGAGGTGGGCCCAGGTGAACCTCATAAGGTTCAACAAAAGCTAGTGCAGGGTTCTGCACCTGGGCTGGAACAATCCTCGTTATCCATACAGGCTGGGGGTGAGGTGTTAGAAAGCAACCCTGAGGAACGGGACCTGGGGGTGCTGATGGATGAGAAACTGGAGATGAACGGGCAGTGGGCACTTGCAGCCCAGAAGGCCAATCACATCCTGGGTTGTATCAAAAGAAGTGTTGCCAGCAGGTCCAGAGAGGGGATTCTGCCACTTTGCTCTGGTGAGACCTCACCTGGAGTATTGTGTGCAGGTCTGGAGCCCTCAGTATAGGAAGGACATGGACCTGATGGAGCAGGTCCAGAGGAGGGCCACAAAAATGATCAGGGGGTTGGGAGCACCTCTGCTATGAGGACAGGCTGAGGGAGCTGGGGTTGTTCAGCCTGGAGAAGAGGATGCTCCGGGGAGACCTAATAGCGGCCTTCCAGTACCTGAGGGGGGGCCTACAGAAAGGCTGGGGAGAGCCTGTTTACAAAGGCCTGTGGTGACAGGACGAGGGGCAATGGCTTTAAGTTGGAGAAGAGCAGATTTAGACTGGAGATTAGGAGCAAGTTCTTTACTGTGAGGGTGGTGGAGCACTGGAACAGGTTGCCCAGGGAGGTGGTTGAGGCCCCTTCCCTGGAGATATCCAAGGTGAAGCTTGACGAGGCCCTGGGCAACCTGGTCTAGTTGGGGGTGTCCCTGCTGACTGCGGGGAGGTCGGACTAGCTGGCCTTTAGAGGTCCTTACAGCCCGAGCCATTCTATGATTCTATAAGGCACGGCACAGCTTGGGGTGGTATATGGTGTGGTATGGCAGGGACGGGCTCGGTGTGGCGTGGCATGGCTTGGCGGGGTGTGGTATGGCGGGGTGCAGCACGGCACCACTCAGCACGACGGCAGCCCTGGGTGGGCACCGTGCCGTGCCGATGCTCCCAGCCAGGCCGCGTGCGGGCACCCCGAGGTCACACACCTGGTCACACTCCTGTGTCACGCACGCGTCCCGTGCCTCGGTCCCACGGCTCTCCCGTCCTGTCCCACCCGCGTGTCCCCCCTCCCTTCCCGCCGGGACTACAACTCCCAGCAGCTCCCTCGGCCCCCACCATCCCGCTCCGCCATTGGCCGCCGCCGGGGCGCCCGCCTCCAGGCTCCCCATTGGCTGTCCCCGTGGCAACGGGCGCGCGGGGCGGCGGGGGCGGGGCCCGGGGCGGCCCCTCCCGGCGCCGCGGGTTTGTTTGTGGCCGCCCGGCGGGAGGGAGCGGAGCCGGGCCCGGCACTGGCGGGACGGGCATGAGGAGTGGGGGAACGCAAAGCCGCCAGCGCCCCCCGCCCGGGGCCGGTGCGCCGTGGGCAGCGCGGCGGAGCCCGACGCTCCGCCGGTCCTGAGGCGCCGGCTCCCGGAGACATCGCGCTGGTCCCCGGTGACTTGCCGCCGCCGCCGCTCGGTCCGCCGCCGCCCGTCCCGTCCCGCCGGGGCCGCTTGGGGGGGGACCTGGGCTATGCGGTGGTGGCTGCGCGCCGCCGTCCTCAGCCTGCTCGCCGGTGCTGAGGGTAAGGGGCCGCCGTCCCGTCGGGGCGGGAGCCCGGGGCCGGGGCGGGAGCGGGCGCGCTGCCGGTGGGGCCGGTCTGGCTGGTGCCGGGCTCCGGGGAGGCGCGTGACGGCGGGGACAGCGCACGTGGTGTCGCCGCGGGGCCGGGGGCGGCTGGTGCCACCGGCTGGGAAGGGGCTCGGCGGGCGGCAGGGTCCCGTCCCGCCGGTGGAGCTCACTCTTCTGCTCGATCCCGGCAGGCAGCGGGCAGAGCGAGTCCCGGGCTGTGGTGGGGCGAGTCGGGGAGAGCACGGTGCTGGGCTGCGACCTCCTGGACGCCCACGAGGCCCGTCCCCCACTCTACGTGATCGAGTGGGTCCGCTTCGGCTTCGTCCTCCCCATCTTCATTAAGTTCGGGCTCTATTCACCACGCGTTGACCCGGAGTACATCGGTGAGTCCTACGGCTGGGGCGGTTGTGGGGTCCTTGGGGGACACGCGAGGCTGGCTCCGGTGTCCCGTGTCCCCGCTCTCCTCGAACGGGCCCCAACCTGGGGCCGCCGCTGTCAGACCACATTAATCATGCTCCCGGGGCGGTGGGGAAGCACAGGGCTCTCTCCGGCCCCAGGCAGTGGAAGAGGACATTGTGGGGCCAGGGAGGTCCCCCCCAGCACTGCCTGCTTGGCGATAGGGATGGCCGAGCGCCCACCTGCCAGCACCGGGGCTGTGGCGTCCTGGCACTGCCCGGGCTCTCCCGTGCCATCTGCTGCGTGCTGTGCCCGGCTGGGGCCGGTGACAGTGGGGTACCCTGTGCCAGAGCCTGCAGACCCCCGGGCACTGCCATAGCCCTGCCTCACTCCATGGGGGTCGCTTGAAGGTTGAGCCTGAGGAGGGGATTCTGGCGAAGCTGCTAATTGGCGGTGCTGGGCTGGCCGGGATTTGGAGCAAAGCTGTGCTGGGGAAGGGCTGTGGCGTGGGAGGGAGATATTCTCCTCTTTACGGGATATTTAAAGTGAAGCGGTGGCCAGACCTCGAGGGATCCCTGCGAGAGGGATCCTGGTGAGCACGGAGGTGAAGACAACGGGAGCATCCCTTGGGGACGGCTGGGGAGGAGGGGAGGGCTGGCGGCTGGACGGCGCTTTGGGCTGAGCCCGGCAGCGACTGAAATCCTCCCACAGGACAGGGAGGGCTGGAGAGCCGGATCACGCTGGGCCAGGAGCCCGCGCCCGCTGCCCAAACCGGCCCTTGCCAAAAAAAATGTGCAGCAGGACGAGGTTTTGAGCCAAGCCCTCTCCTGCCTGGCCACGGGCAGAGCGGTGCGCAGGAGACGATTTTGGGGCAAACCTCAGCTTTCCCTACTGCCGGCCTGTGCCCAGGGAAACCTTCACTCCACAGGCAGCCCCGAGCTGGCTCCGTGGGGCCGGCGGTGACAACAAACCCTGGGTGAGGACAAGGCACCTGCTCTGCTGGGAAGCTGGGGCTGGGCTCCTGTTACCTGAGCCCGGCACCGCGGGGCCCCTCGGCCGCGGGGGCTCCGGTTACCCAGAGAGGGGCTGGAGCCTCCTGCCTGTGCTGCCCCGGTGGTGGGAGCAGGTTTAGCTGCCGGGGATCAGCGACTGGCGGGGATGCACTGGGGGAAGGGGTCTGGTGGCCTTAATGAGGGCGAGGTGGGTGGGCAGCGGGGCTGGCGGCTGTCACCATGGCAGCGGGTGGCTTGTTTTCAATCCTCTGGGGGCTGGGAAAGGATGGAGGGACGGGAAGGGGCTACGGGATAAGGGCAGCTCCTGCTTCCAGCCCTTCCCAGGCAGAGCAGATCAGGTGTCACCCAGGGGACAGGCAGCCCCTGCTGTTGCCCACATCACACCACGTCCCTCGTGGGGCAACTTGGGGCATCCCGGGGACAGGATGGCTGCAGCCACCTCCATGAGAGCCCTTGGGTCACTTGGTGGAATGGGGTCAGGTCTCCCCCAGGGGCCACCGTCCCCCATGGTGTCTCATGGGTCGCTGTCCCCTGCTGTCAGCTGGCCTGGAGTGGGCTGGTGGTCCCTGGACCAGCTGCCTGCTCAGGCACCCCATCCCCAGCGGCAAGCATGGCGGCTGGGGCTGCAGCCCCCTTTGTGTCCCTCTGAATGACGGTTGCCAGGCACTGGGGGATGCTGGTCCGGGGACCAGCGGCGGTTTTGTTATCGGCAGGGTGGTGGAAGAGGAGGAGGGGGCTGGGGCCAGCACGGGGGATTAGGGGGAGGCTGGGGGCTGTCCCCAGGGCACTCTGATCCCTTCCAAAGGGACCTTTGTTCAGGAGCCTCCTGCTCCCGCCTGGCTTCTGGGGCTGAGCTGGCAGCTGCCGGCAGGGATGGGGTTTCTCAGAGCTCCCCAGAGCTGCCCCCCTTCTTGGGGCTCAGCGTGGGAGCTGGCTGTGGGATGAGCAGTGGGAGCACCCCTTGTCCCACGGGTCTTTTGCCGTGGCTCCCATCCGTCCAGCTACTCCTGCCACCTGCCTCGTGTCTGAGCTTTGCCCGTGGTGTTGCTTGATGCTGGAGGGAGGGGTGTTGCCAGAGGTACCCCAATACCTCCATCTGTCCCCAGCATCTCCTGCTGCAGGAGTGTTGGTGGGGCCGCAGGGAGAGGCAGGAGGGGTGGGAGGTGCGGTGGGGGCTGGAAGAAGCTCCGGGCGCTGTTGGGAAGGGGTTGCAGGTGTTTGTGTGCAGGGTTTGCACAGGAATGTGTGGCCCCAGCACTCAGCACACGATCCTGTCCCTCCACCACTCTGTGCCCAAACCAGCCTGCCCAGGCCCCGCCGCTCCTCCTCCTCCTTGCCGGGCTCGTCTGGCAGGGTGCAGCTTCCCGGTGCCACCCCTGCGGTGCCCAGCCTGGGCCCCAGTGGCTCCGGCAGCATGTGGGGACCACCTGTGACACCGAGCCCCTGGGCAGAGCTGGTGGGCGAGGGGGGAAGGTCGGCAAAACTTGCTTTGTTGGAAATGCCTCGGGAGATGCTGTTCCCTGGGGAGCTCTGGGATGTCGACAGGAGCATCATGGGCGGCTCCAGTGCGTGCGGTGCTGCTACTGTCATGTCCCTGCCACGGCACTGTGAGCGAGGCCACCCTGGGCAATGGCACCTGTGGGGCTAAACCCTCCTCCCCAGCCAGGAGCAGCTCCGGGCCAGGGGTGCCAGCAGTGAGGTTGGGGGCACGTAGCCCCGGGGGTGCCAGGCGGTGGGTGTGCTGCCTTTGCACCCCGGCCGGGGCTGAGCCAATTGCCTGCTGCTCGCCTGAGCCGATTATGGCTCTGATAATAGCCCAGGGGATTAAAGAGCTGTGCTCGCTGTCGCTTTGCACCCTTATCCTCCTCCTCATCAAAGAGGCCGTGGGGTGCGGGGATGCTGCCTGCTCAGGGCAAGGGCCCCACGGCCCAGGCAAGCCCCCCACTGCCGTGACCCTGTGGGGGGGTCTGTCGTGGTCGTCACTGTGAGGCGGGCGAGGGGTTCAGCCTAAGCCCTCCCGGTGCCATGGGGAGAGGGGATGGCGCGGGGGTGCCCAGGGCTTAGCAGGGCTCCTAAGGGTGAGACAGCTGGGGGGGCTTCCTCGGGAAAGGGCAGCTGAGGCTGCGGGGGAGCGGTCCCTGGAGGGCCAGGGGAAGGGTGCTGGGGAGGGGTGTTGCTGGCAGCTCTAGGGCAAGGCGGAGGGGCTGTGGGACCAGCTCTTGCCCAGCAGCGGGGAACAATGTTCTGGGTGCAGGGACCCCTCTTACCCAGGGTTGGGGGGTCCCTGCCAAGCCATCCTACACAGGTGCGGGTGGCAGAACCGACCACCACGTCCTCCCCTGTTTCCCCGACAGCAGCGGGACATGTAGTGCTAAATGTTGGTGTGACCAACCTCTGCCGCAGCGCGGCTGCCCCGGCTTTTGTCCCATGGCCATTCCCAGCCCCCTGCGGCGCGGCTGAGGCAGGAGAAGCCAGACCGTGGCAGACCCTGCTGCTGCCAAGTGGGGCAGTCGGCCCCGCTCCCCGGGGGAAGCCGCTGAGCCTGCAGCGGGGGCGAGCACGGCGTGGGCAGGCGCCCTGGGGTGGCGGGTGGCCCAGGGACGTGGCCTCCCCTGAGCCGGTGGCACTAGCCGTGATGGCCGCCTCTGGGTGCGCAGGTCGGGTGCGGATCGAGGAAGGTGCCTCGCTGCGCATCGACCTCCTGCGCGCTGAGGACCAGGGCTGGTACGAGTGCCGCGTGCTCTTCCTCGACCGGCACAGCACTGACGCCGACTTCCAGAACGGCACCTGGATCCACCTCACCGTCAACGGTACTGGCGGGTCCCTCCCTCGGTCACTGTTCTCCCCAGCACCAGCCGAGATCTCTCAGGGCTGGGACTGGATCCATTGGTCTTCTGAGACCAGTTGAACCAGACCTGGGGGTGAGGGACTGGACTTGTCTTTACAGCACCCCCCACCTTCCTGGAGACCCCCCCTGCCTTTGTGGAGGTGCGGGACCGGGACCCCCTGAGCCTCACCTGCACGGCTGTCGGCAACCCCCAGCCTGTTGTCATCTGGAAGAGGAGTGACCTGGCTGTCCAGAGTGGGGACACAGTGCAGGTGAGGGCGGCAAACCACTGGTTACCCCAGCCCCATGATGTGTCCCCCACCTTGGCCTGGGTCTCGTGGGGGCAGCCAGGCGTGCAGAGCAATGCGACTGCTTGGCTGGAGAGTGGGTGCCTGTCCCTACCGTGGTGGCACCCACCTTCTGCCACTGGCCGTGTTCCTGAGAGTGTCCTGTCCCTTGGTGGCCATGCTGTGCACCCGGTCATCATAGGTGAGGAACGGGACGCTGAGCATTGCTGTCGTGGAGCGCACCAACGCAGGCACCTACACCTGCCATGCTTCCAGCAAGGAGGGCACCATCACCCACACCACCCGCGTGCTCGTGCAGGGTAAGAGTGGGTCCTCTCCCAGCCATGGCCACCCCTGGGTGCTGCCACAGGACACAGAGGGAGCCTTGTCATGGAGGGTGGTTTTGGGGCAGGTGCGGGTTTTGGGAGCAGCTGGGGCCATCCCCTGTCCCCAGCCTTCACCATCCCCTCTGCCCCACGCTGCAGGGCCACCTGTCATCGTGGTGCCACCCCAGAATGTCACTGTCAACATCTCTCAAGATGCCTTTCTGGCGTGCCAGGCTGAGGCGTATCCAGGAAACCTCACCTACACCTGGTTCCAGGGCAGCACCAATGTCTTCCATCTCAGGTACAGGGGGGACAGGGGAGGCACCGAGGTGGCTGTGGGCTCCTGCCAGCAGTGCTGGGGCCAGCAGGCTTCTGGGGCCCTGCAAAGCCTGGATCTGAGCGCCATGGGCTGGCCGGGTGTGTGGGGCCAGGGGAGGTTTGCTCATCCCAGGGTGGTGGGGATGGTCCTGGCCACGCTGCTCACCACTGTCCCCATCTTCCCCTTGCAGCCGCCTCCAGCCTCGGGTCCGTGTCCTGGTGGACGGAAGTCTCCTGCTCCAGCGAACGACCCCAGACGATGCTGGCAAATACACCTGCGTCCCCAGCAACGGGCTGTGGAAGCCACCGTCCGCCTCGGCCTTTGTCACGGTGCTGTGTAAGAGCCCCACGGCCCCTCCACTGTCACTGGCTCCGCTCACGGAAAGGCCCTGGTGGGCCAGCCCAAGGACGTTCCCACAGGCCATGGTGGGAAGGGGGTGCCCCTTCAGCTGCCACAGGGACCCCAGCCCCCTGCCGCCCTCACCCTGTTTGTCCTTGCAGATCCAGCGCAGGTGACCACCATGCGCCCCGAGACCCACCTGCCCAAGGGGATGCAGGGTGTGATCCACTGCCCCACCAGGGCCAACCCCCCCCTGCTCTCCGTCAGCTGGACGAGGGATGGGCGCCCACTGCAGCTGGACAAGGTACTGCCATCCACGCCCTCCCCTGCCCTCCCACCCCCCAAACCCCTCATTCTGACCCCGCGCCCCCTCTCCCAGCTCCCTGGCTGGTCCATAAGACCGGACGGCTCCATTGTCATTGCGACGGGGAACGATGACGCGCTGGGAGTGTACACATGTACCCCCTACAACAGCTACGGCACCGCCGGCGAGTCCCAGCCCACGCGTGTCCTGCTGAAGGTGAGCCTGTCCGGGTGGGCACGCTGCCCGGGAGCCCTGCGTGCCCTTTGGCCTGCCCTGCTGTGGGTCTGCACCCTGTCCCACTGGCAGACAAGCCCTGCAGTATGTGTCCCTGCCTTCCAGGACCCCCCTGCCTTCTCAGTGCGCCCCAAGGAGGAATACTTCCAGGAGGTGGGCCGGGAACTGGTGATCCCCTGTGCTGCCCGTGGGGATCCCCCCCCAACTGTCACCTGGCTGAAGGTAGGAGCCACCACCCCAGGGAACCAGCTGAGCCCTCCTGGGGTGCAGACGATACCTTTGGCTCCTGGGGCATCACTCTGGGGCCGTCCCTGTGTCCCGGCAGATGCTACCGGGTCACATCTCTCCTGGTTTCTGCTGGAGAAGGGGCTCAGGGCACTTTGCTTCTGTTACCTTCTTAAGAAACCAGGACAAAATCCTGCCCCTCGTTTCTAAACCAGCCCCGGGGTGGTGGATCACGGGGGCTGTCCCAGCTCCGGGTGGTTGCCCGCTGTCAGCGTGTCTGTGCCCTGCCGTGTAGGTGGGCAGTGTGGGGCAGAGCGGCGCCCAGGTGGATGGGAACAGCAGCCTCATCTTCCGCCCGCTCGTCAAGGAGCAGCACGGGCTCTGGGAGTGCACAGCCACCAACCAGGTGGCCAGTGTCAGTGCCACCACCTCTGTCCATGTGCTGGGTGAGTTGCCGGTCCCTGGTGGGCAGACGCCGTGGGTGCTGGGGTGGCCAACACCAGCCTCCTTGTGCTGGAAGGGATGGAAATGCCCTTGCGCGGCTGTTGTCCAAGCTGCCTGGTGTGACAGGTTGTCTCTCTGCTTCCCTCACCAGGTACCAGTCCTCATGCTGTCACCAACGTCTCTGTGCTCCCGCTCCTGCTGGCAGCCAACATCTCCTGGGAGCCGGGCTTTGATGGGGGTTATTTCCAGAGGTTCAGCGTCTGGTACACACCTCTGTGAGTCCCGGCGGGCAGGCTCTGGTGTCCCACTCTGTCTCTACCCCACCTGGGGCCCTCAGCTCTGGGCTTACAGGTCCCACCTCCCCTCAGGGTGAAGCATCCGCCCCGAGCCCATCATGACTGGGTGTCGCTCTCGGTGCCGGTGGGGGCTCAGCATCTCTTGGTGGAGAATCTACAGCCAGACATGAGCTACCAGTTCAGCGTCCTGGCCCAGAACAAGCTGGGCAGCGGCCCCTTCAGCCAGATCGTCACCTCCGTGCCCAGGGGTAAGAGGGGGCCCCTGCACTCCCCAAAGCAGCCCCTGTTCCCCCAGAGCCCCCAAACACACGGGAGGCTCCTGTTTCTGCCCGGCTCTCCCCCCACATCAGCTCCTGCAGTGGTGTCCCCTTTCTCCTCAGGCTTCCCAGTGACCACAGTGCCTCCAGAGCCGCCGGCCGTGACCGTGCACGTCTTCCTGTCCCCGCCACAGGCTCTGACTGCCAACGAGACTGTGCGAGGGGTCCTGCTGCAGTGGGAGCCCCCCTCTCAGTTCTCGGTGGCGCTGAGCGGTTACGCACTGGAGCTGCGGCAGGACAAGGGGGGTTGGGAGGTGCTGGACCGCTCCATCCCCAGCACCAAGACCCAGGTCCTGGTGCCTGGACTCATCAAGGTGGGAATCGTTACCGGGTGCTCCCTGGCTGCAGGGCAGGGGAGGGGGTCAGGTCTCCTGCGTTACCTCTACCCGGGGCTGGGGCATCTGGTGATGCCATGGAGCTGCTCAGCTCTGCAGCTGCCTGCGCAGAGGCTTGGCTGGCCACTGTGCCAACGAGGCTAATGGCCCTTTGCTCCTCCAGGACGCCTTCTACGAGTTCCGACTGGTGGCCTTTGCTGGCAGCTACATCAGTGACCCCAGCAACACGGTGAACGTCTCTACAGCAGGTAAGGCCTGGGCTGCTGCCCACGTGCTCTTCCCACCCAGGGGACAGAACCAGAGGTGTAAAGTGCCCGGCGTGGTCTCAGATCTTCCCAGACTGAAACCTCTTCCTGCTGCTCCCACCCCCAAGCATCCCTGCTGCTGGACCGGGGGACGCAACGCCCAAAGCAAGACCCCCAAAGCTAACACCATGGGAACACCCATCTCTGTGTGCGGATCTGGTGTGACTTTAGTGTCACGGACCAGCTAGCAGGAGAGCTCTGTGCAGAACATCCCTGCTCCCGGCACGGCGAGGGGCACAGCTCTGCCCGAAGGCAGAGCAGCCCTGGGGCGGGGGGTTTTGCTGTTTATCCCTGTGGTTCTGGTGATGTGAGGGAGGCCGTGCTGGTATGCTCCACGGGTAACCGAGCCTCTGATGATGTCTCCTGTCTGGCCCAGGCATGGAGGTGTATCCGTCCCGCACCCAGCTGCCGGAGCTCCTGCCGCAGCCGGTGCTGGCGGGGGTCATCGGGGGGATCTGCTTCCTCAGCGTGGCTGTCATCTTCAGCACTATGGCCGCCTGCATCATGAACCGCCGGCGCGCCGCTCGCATGCAGAAGCGGAGACAAGGTAGGAGCCGGCTGGACGGGCACAGGCACCCGCATCCCAGGGCTCCCGGGGAGCTGGAAGTGCAGGGCAGCAGGGCCCAGTGCCTGGGGAGGGGACAGGCCAGGCCAGCCCGGGGTGGGGGGCTCGCCAGGGGCTGAGGGTCATAGGGCTGAGCGGGTGCTGCTGTCGCCTCATCATCACTTTGCATTGCTCGCCGTGTGATCCCCTTGTGTTCTCATGACCTTCCAGATCCACCACTCGTCTTCTCCCCCAGCAAGAAGCTTCCACCTCCACAGTAAGTCACGCCACACCATGCTCCTGCCCCGTCCCGCTCCTTCCCTGTCTCGCTGCGCTCCCCATCGCTCACCCGCTGCTGGCTGGGGACAGAGGGGCAGTTTGAGGGGCAGCCACCCCTCCCCACCGCCGCTGGCTGCAGAGAGGGCATTAGGAGTGGGGTGCTGGGGTCAGGGTGTGCTGTGGGGTAGGGGTTCCCTGGGGAGTTCTGGCTGAAGGATCAGAGAGCACAGGAGCAGGTCTGCTGAGCCCGTGGCAGTGGTGCAGAGTCACAGTCGTCCTGTTGGATGCCCAGTATGATGCCCTGGCACGGGTGGCAGCCAGATGAGCCTGGAGCCAGGACAATGGTGCTGCAGCAACTCCCTTCTTCCTTACAGAAATTCTCATGGCTCTGGTAGCCCAGACAGCACCGTGAAGCTGAAGCTGCAGCCATCTCCCTACCGCAGCCTGCGCCGGACGCTGCTGTGGGGCGAGAAGGCTGGCACCAGCCTAGGTCTCAGCATCGCCGGCTCCCGGTACGCTGTGTACGAGAGCCACGTTGGGGAGCATGTGCCCCTGGAACGGATCTGCCGCGGCCCCGATGGACGCTTCGTGGTGGAGACCGATGCGCGGCCACAGGAGAGCAGCTTTGGGGCACTGCCCTACGCCGAGCCGGAGCGGGACCCCCAGCACGGCCCCCCAGCGCCACAGCCCCAGCCCTATCTCCAGCTGCCCAAAGAGGAGGAGGAGGAGGAGCCCATCTGGCGCAAGGGGGTCTCACTGCGCCCCCGGCCCGCAGGCCAGTCCCGACGGGGAGCTCGGGCCGCCGGCTACCGCCAGGGCCGCTACTTCGGCTACGGCAGCAGCAGCCCCGTGGACGAGGCGGCGGCGACTCTGTGCATCGTCAACATCAGCCCGGTGGCCTCTGCCACCACCCTGCCTTACAGCACCATGGAGGAGCTGCGCCACAGCCCTGGCGGCCCTGGGCCCTGCCCCAGCACTGCCAGCGCCCTGTGGGACTCGCTGTCCCTCCAGGGCTCCCCCCGGGCCTCCCTTGGACCCCCAGTGTCTCTCAGCCCCAGCCTGGGGTGCAGTCAGCCACAGGCCACCTCCCCAGTCCAGAGCAGCATCCTCCAGTACCTGAGCCTGCCCTTCTTCAAGGAGATGTGTGTTGATGGTGACTGGCCACCCCCAGAGGAGCCGGCAGAGCCCAGCCATGCCAGTGGCCAGCCAGAGCCCACCAATAGCCCCCCACTCACCCAGCCAGGGGCTGGGGGCTCCCCGCAGCACACGGGACGGACGCTGTGCCCAGACTGCATTGACACAAGTGCCAACACCACCTCCCCCCCAGCCGCTGCTTTCCTCAAGCCCCCGAGGCTGCCAGTGGGTCCTGCCAAGGCCTCGCTGCCTGGCACCCCCTCCTGGCACAGCTCCCCCGGCCCTGGGGCTGGCCTGCAGCCCCCCACCCTCCTGGCTCACCCCCTCCCTGTCGGCAGCAGCAGGACTGAGGCTGTGCCCTCCACTGGCACCGTGGAGCCCCGATGGGCACCGGGCCGCTCACCGGACCCTGTGCCCCTGGAGAAGCTGCCACGGGGCAGTTTGACCAGCCAGAGCAGTGGCCGGGGCAGCGGCTCCTTCCTGCGACCCCCCTCGCTGGCACCCTCCCTGGGGGGCACCCGCCTCGGGGACGGGGGCAGCTGGCACAGCGGGGGCTCGGCGGCGGAGGAGGGCAGGGCCAGGATGGATCCGGCGCTCGGCGGCACCGGGAAGAGGTGAGCCACGGGCAGGACAGCAGGGACAAGCCACCTCATGCCCAGGCAGCTCCCAGCCTGTGCCACGGGGCTGGGCCGGGGTGTCCTGGTGTGGAGCCTCCCAGCCCTGTGGCACCCCAGCCACCGCTCCCCAGGGACACCCCACTACAGGGTCCTCACTGTCCCAGCCCCTGGGGACCACCCCAGCTCTTCCTGCAGCATCCCTGCCCCCCTGGCCTGCTTCCCCCCTGCATCCCCGCATCCCTTGAGGTGGCTGTGGGGACCCTCCTGACGCCCATCCCCGCAGGAGGGACACCTCCGTGGATGAGAACTACGAGTGGGACGCGGAGTTTGCCCTGGAGTCCGACATCCTGGAGGCCCTGCAGCTCTACCGCTGTGGGGACCCGCCACGGCCCGTCTCCACCATCGCCCTGCGTGACCTGGAGAGGCAGAGTGAGTGTGAACCCCCCACCCGCCGCAGCCCCCCGGGGCCATCCCCCACCCCTTCCCGAAAAAGGCCATTGGGAAAAGGGGGCGGCGGGGCCCTTTGGCACCCGCGTCCCTGGGGGTGGCCCCGTGGGTGGGTGACGCAGCCGGGCCGGACGCTGCCTGTCTCCCTGCAGAGCCCGGCGGCGGCTCCTCCCCGGTGAGCTCGGTGTCGGCGGAGGCGTTGGCGGCAGCGGGCGGCCCCCCGGAACGCAGCACGGCCCTGCGCCAGGAGCTGGCGGCGTCCCGGCGGCGCAGGGAGGGGGCCCGGCAGCGGCTGGGCCCCCGCGGGTGCTGCGCCGAGCGCTTCGAGCTGGCCACGCTGCTCTAGGGAACCCCCCGGGACCCCCCC